TCCTGTCTGCGTTTGATGTCAGGAAATTCCGACTCACCAGGCACCCTTTTTTCCTTAGTATTTGGTGCAGCTTTTCTTTGGCTGCATATGTTGTCACCTCTAGAGTAAAAATAGTGCTGAATGATTTGTGCTGTAAAATCACGACCCATATACCTTGATTTACACAGTGAATGGTGGCCCCGTCTGTGTGAGCAGAACTGCAGAAGTTCGGGACGCAAGCTCAAGTTCAGGTGCGCCCGAGTGTGCTGTTGGGTGTACACTCAGCTCTGAGGGTCTGTCCAGATTTACTGTGTTTTCATCTGGCACAGCCCTGCTTGAGAGCAACTGTGGGGTGTGATGAGGTGTTCTCAGGGTAAACGTGGTGCCTGTGGATGGAGTCAGTGGTCCACTCCTGGAGCCTGCAGCCCTGAAGCTTTCAAGCCGGTAGGCAGGAAATGATCTGGTGCTTAGGGTCATGTCTGTAAGCTGGGAAAGGTAAAACAGCCTAAGCGTGGCGGGACTTTCTGAGAGCTTTCTGGTTAACTTGCAGTTCGCATAGCAGAATCTTTGTTTGCTTTTTACCTGCTTATCAACTCAGAAAAACTGATGGGAGTTAGACAGTTGCACCGCTCAGCTCAAGGTGCTGTGTTCAATTAGTTACAGGTGGGCGTAGCCACCATCCCATGCGGGAGTTTGTACCGGCAGCCTTGTTAAGAGCGCGCGCTCTATCCCCTGAGCCACCTGGGCGGCAGCTCAGCTCAAGGTGCCGAATTCAGTCTTTAATTGCTGGCAGGCATAGCCCACCATCAAACAGGCAGTCTTATTGTTAGGAACACGTGCTCTCACCAGCTGAGCCATCCTGCCACCTGTTGGCAGCTCAGCGGCAGCTCAGCTCAGGTGCAGCATCACTGGCCCGTGTGGGAATTGAACCGGTGACCCTGTTGCTCAGAGCTCGCACTCTTGAGCAAGCTCTTAACCATCTGAGCCACTCGGCCAGCCCCCTGGGTTTTATTTTTAAGTTAACCCACTAGTTTGCAAACGTGGCTTTAAAAAAAAATATATATATATATATATATATATGTATATATATGTATTTATGTTATATATGTGTGCATATATATGTGTGTGTATATATACACACACATGTAGCACACATATATATGTATGCATATGTATATGTATATATAAATTATGTATATGTATATATACATTATGTATATGTATATATAAAAGTCCAGAGTCTCACCACCTGGAGTGTCTGCTTCACTGGGTAACTGATATAGAGCAAGGATTGACGGAGACTCTCGAGTGATCTGCAATGGCTCAGGAGCCTAATTTTGACCCCTTATATCCTCAGAGTTGAGAAAGGAAGGAGAACAAATACATAAACTGAATGCATTCATTCTGACTTCAGCTTTCGTACAGGTTTTACTTCTCTCCACTAATCTTTTTTTTATTTACTTTCACCACTTATAAGTGTCTTTGGTTTTTACCATTTTAGCCATGTTTTAATTGTACAGTTCAGTAGTGTTACGTATATTCACATACATTGTAAAACAGATCTCCAGAATATTTTCATCTTGCAAAACTGAAACTATACCCACTGAACACTAACTCCCCCTCCCTCACTCCCTAGTCCCATCCACCATCCTACTTTCTGTCTACGAATTTGACTACTCTAGGGACTTCATATGAGTAGATTCCTACCATATTTGTCTTTTTGTGAGTGCCTTATTTCACTTAGAGTAAGGTCCTCAAAGTTAATCCACTTTGTAGCATGTGACAGGGTTTTTCTTCCTTTTTAAGGCTGAGTAATGTTCCACTGTATGTATGGACCACGTGTTGCTTATCCATTCATCTGTCAGTGGACACTTGGCTGCCTCCACTTCTTGGCTATTGTTAGTAATTGTATGCTCCTGTAACAAGGGTGTGCAAATGTCTCTTCATGTTTTCTTTCAGTTTGCTTTCAGTTTTCTTTGTTATATACCCAGAAGTGGAATCCCTGCTCATACATTAATTCTATTTTTAATATTTTGAGAAGCTGTCATACTCTTTTCCACAATGGCTGCACCATTTTACATTCCTACCAGCGGTGCACAAGGGTTCCAATTTCTCTATATCCTTGTCAACACTTACTTTCCATTATTTCCTTTTTAATAGTAGTCTCGTAATGGGTGTGAGGTGATACCTCCTTGTGATTTGGATTTGCATTTCTCTGATGATTAGTGACATTGAGGATCTTTCCATTTGATTTTCAAATATGTTCTCTCATTCTCAGGTTACCTTTTTACTCTATTGATTGTGTCTTTGCTAATAGCATGAAGTATTTCAGTTTGATGTAGTCCCATTTTGTTGCCTTTGTTTTCGGTGTGCTATCCAAGAAATCTTTGCCAAATTCAGTGTCAACATCAGCTTTCTCCTGTGTTTTCTCCTAGGAGTTTTATTGTTTGAGGTCTTACACTTGGTCTTTAATCCATTTTGAGTTAATTTTTGCATATGATGTAAGGTAAGGATCCAATTTCATTCTTTTGCATGTAGATATCTAGTTTTCCCAGCACCATTTGTTAGAGAAACTGTCCTCTCTCCATTGAGTGACTTGGTGCCCCTGTTCAAGACCATTTAACTATAAGCAAGAATTTATTTCTGGGCTCTCTGTTCTATTCCATTGTTCTGTATGTTTGTCTTCATGCCAGTACCATACCGTTTTGATTACTATTGCTTTGTGAGTCCTCCAACTTAGTTATTTTTCAAAATTTGTTTTGGCTATTCAGGGTCCCTTGAGATTCCATATGAAATTTAAGATGAATCTTTTTTCTGTTTCTGCCCAAAAATGCAGTTGGGATTTTGATAGGGATGGTGTTATGTAAGTGTTATTTTTGAAATAGGAAGACATTTTTTTAAAAACCACCTCAGAAGTTTGCTGGAATAGTTTTGGCAAACAAAGAAGCCTCGCAGATACCCGGAAGATGGGATACACAATTTTTCACATGTTCTTACTTCCCTTGACATAATAGTTATTGGGTTATTCTATGAACCTGTGCAATACCTAGAATCCCTTTCCACAGATACCATCTGTGGAGAGCCATCCAGGCTCCCCTTCCCCCGGTCGTGGTGGCAGTCCCCCAGACACCCTCAGGCTTGAAAGACTGATAATTAGGGTGAATTAAATGGAGACAAGCTCACAACCTACATACAATAAATATCATGCTCATGTGGAGCCATTTGACTGAGGATGAGAAAGTGTCATCTGACCTTCACTCCTGGGTGAGAGAGTGTGTCAGGAAACAGCCCCGGATTTTAGAAGGCACTACAGTGATGCCCACACCTTCCTGGAGATGACAGGAGATTTTCTAGAGGACAGGTGGTGCGTGAGTGTGGCTGGGGAGCTTGGGCATTTTTTGGTGAGGCTGTTCTCTAAGAAAGTTGTGTTGGAGAATTCATCATGGGGACTGTTTTTGTGAGTTGGCCTGTCATCTCTGAAACCTAGCCCCTAATGTGGTGTTACCTCAGCAGAGCCCTGGTTCCTGGTTAGGAAGCAGGTGGGGGAGGCCATGGGGAGCCAGGAGGGGCTGGTCATGGAGGGGTCCCTGTAGGCGCCCTTGCACGGGAGCCGAAGACATGTGCAAGGGAGGATTGCTGTGGCAGCGGCATCTCAGGCCCCCGTTCCTCAGCTCTCCCGTGAAGGTGCTTATGTTTCCTTTCACCTGTAGCTAAAGTGGGATGGGGTGGCCTGGCACAGACTGTCCTCCTGTAGCTAAAGTGGGATGGGGTGGNCCTGTAGCTAAAGTGGGATGGGGTGGCCTGGCACAGACTGTCCTCCTGTAGCTAAAGTGGGATGGGGTGGTCTGGCACAGCTGTCTGGAGGATGGCTTCTCTCCTACATGCTTGTTCATCTCTGTCCTTTCACAGGGAGATGTTCCTGAGGGCTTTGCGCTGTATGGCAGGTGGCACCCGCACTGGCCAGTAAGAGTTGTGGGTGGTGATGTTAACATGAATGCCTGTGCACCAGGGGAAGTGTGTTTCCGGAATCCGAATTGTTTTTGCCATTCATGGCTTTAAAAACCACCCTCTCTGACTGTCATGTCAGAGTCCGGTTCTGTGTGTACAAGATACTTAAAAATAAAGTGAAAGACTGCTTTCTCCTATACTTTTGTGCCTTTCTTTTATATCAGATTTGTTTTACAAATTAGAAGCGTTGTTTACTTGAGATCTTCACAATTAATTCTGTGTCTGAAAAAACCAGTCTTCCTTCTGACTTGAATGCTGCATCTGGGACAGAGCTTCTTAGAAAACTCGCTAATCAGATGGACCCTAATTAGAGCAGGAGACCGGCCCAAATAAATGACCCAGCACATGTTTTTGTTCAGATAATTAGACTTTCCATTTTTGTTTAAAGTTCTTCTAATTGCAAATGTAAATTAGTTTTGGGCCGGCCGAGTGGCATGTTGGTTAAGAGTTGGCTTGGGACTCCAGCTCTGAGCAGCAGGGCCCTGGTTCGGATCCCACATGAGGGCCAGTGACACTGCTCCCTCTATAGCAAAGATGGTGAACAACAGCTCGACCTGGAGCTGGGCTGCCGTGAGTCGCTGGTGACGGCATAGGCTGTAGTGGAGCTGCAGTGGGCTGCCATAAGCTACCATGAGTGGCCAGCAGCCAGCGTGAGCTGCCGGCAGCCGTCGTGAGCTGCCAAGAACCGCTGTGATCGGCCGTCCAGTGGCTGGCGACCAATCTGCCTCAGCCAGGAAGAGCACAATGACAATATCAACATGGGCCAGTGAAGCAATGTCCTCCACAACTAGACTGAAGAACAAAAGGACAGCAACTTGTCTGTTCCCCTCCCCCAATTCCCCAGTAAAATCTTTAAAAAAAAAGTAAATTAGTTTCTATGAAGAGTATTAAAATAACCGGAAATTCAGTGAAAGGTATATAAACACCTTTATTATACAGTCCGAACTCTTAGATGTTCAGAATTTTTTAGTGTTTTTCTTAGAAATAACACACTTCCATTTTGTCTCCTTTAGTTGACCAGATATACCACCTGGCCTCTCCAGCCTCCCCTCCAAACTACATGTATAACCCCATCAAGACACTAAAGACAAACACGATCGGGACATTAAACATGCTGGGTAAGTTGCTCTTGTCTGGTTTTGCAGCTGTTTGGGAATATTGTAGACAACTCCAATACAGGTTATTGACTATGCTATGTGAGTTTGATCCTGGTCTTTACACCCCTCTCTCAATCCTGCCGGGGCCATTTCAATGTGACTTTGCCATCAGAATCAGTCCTGGGGGAAACAATCATTGTAGTAACCACTCTGGGTTGCCTCAGTTCAACCCCCCAGGATGACCACCTGTACTTCCAAGTGACAACCCAGCCTTCCTCCGCTTCCTGTCTGACGGACATTGTGCCTGCCTCCCTGCAGGAAGGGAGTACTGGTGGCTCTGCTCCAAGATTGGGTTGGAGTGGACTGCACACATGGGCGCACACACACATGGGTTTCAGGAGCACTTCTGGAAGGAGTGAGAGGAGAGTTGTCCTGACAGGGTTGTAGAAACCTGGCTCCAGCCACAACTGCAGGATTCACCGTAGATGTGAAAGACGAGAGTGAGCACCATTAAAGGTGGCCACACATGTACTCACAAACAACATGCTGTGGATAATACGCACGTGTCTGTGCTTGAAATTACAGGCATGCTTAAGCTTGGCACAAGATTTCAAAAACTAGGGGTTTTGATTAGTTGCAAAGTGGAAGAAAGGAACCGCTTTTTAAAATGTCGAGTGAAAAATGGATTTAATTATAGGAACATTTAAAACAGGTACTATAAATGGATCAGGGAACGACAGCACTACATTTTAATTTGAGCAGAGCATCCAACAAGGGTCTGAAAAGGCAGCTGGAGGTTGGTTTTCAAGTCTCTTAGACAACATTTTGGGGGATCAAGCTCTGCGTGAAGTAAAAGGATTCATTCTTATGGTCTTAGCAAGGGCATTTGTCCTCTTGTGTTGTGACCTCTGCCCTGGTCACCAGAGAGAAGATAGCGCCCCCCACTTCTGCTTTGAGATATGGTGTTTTGGAGGACGCCCCCCATTCTTGCCCCTGCAAGCTCCTTCCCCCTTCTTCATGCTTTTTCTCTGCCTCCCCAGACCCTTCCTTCATACCAGAACTAGACACAATAGAGGAAAAGCCACCAAGCACGTGATGTTTAAAAAGATACTCATTCTACCGGGTTAGGCAACGCAGGCACGGTGCCTAAGGCGCGCAGGCCTACACACACTGTCCTATTCACTGTGAGATAAGGATTATTCTCAGGCTCTTCTGCCAGGGAACTTAGCATCTCAGGGGAGACAGTGCAAGGGCAAGGAATCAGTGACGCCGCACGGGAAGGGAAAGGTTCCAAAAGAGAGGCACCAGGGAGGTGCTGTTAAGAGTTCATGGTGCAGGTGACTCTTGGCCTTGGGCTTGAACCATGAGTGAGCTGGGACCTGGAGGTCTTGAAGGAATGGCAGTGGGTCTTCTGGGAATGACATGGACAGAAGCTGAAAAGAAACAACTGCTAGGCCAGAAAGAGACCCAAATGGGACTTTGTGTTCTGAGCTGAAAGGAGCCGTTTTGCACTGGAGACAAGATGCACTGAAGGTCGCCCGGCTCCTTCCTCTGGGGCTTCGCCCCCTCCCTGGTTCCGTGCTTGGCTTCCTCATGGTGAAACCTGTCTGTCCCGGCTCTGCACATACACCTGGGGACTCCTGCAGCCCAGGTGTGTGCCCCTGGCTTCGCCCAGGAGGGACCCCGTGGTAGAGGAGGCGTTCTGTGTCCTGAGTGCATCCGTGTTACTGTCCTGGTTGTGATACTGACTGGAGTTTTGAAGGTTTCTACTGTTGGAGGCAGCTGGGTAAAGGGTATGTGGGATCTCTCTGTTACTTCTTTCAGCTGAATTTGAATCCACTATTATCTCAAATTAAAGGTTTAATGGAAAAAAGACCTTGGGATCGTTCATTTTGAAGCTGCCACCATTTCTCTGAGTGACGTGGAGTGGTGAATCAGAGAAGGAGGCGAGCCTGTGGTGTGGGGAGCCTCTAAATCCCGTGTCACACTGTATCCCACTACCACTGTCATCCTCGGCACATGGTGGTCTTTGCGCAGGTTGTCTCCAAGTCCTTACCTGTCAGCAACTCTTCTTTTGTTTTTGATGCGCGTCTTCATGGCTCCCCCGGGTGCTTCTGCACTCACACCCTGGGTCTCCTCACGCCCGGACCCTTGTGCCTGGCCTGGCCTCCCTCATGAGTGGCCGCAGGTTGTGTGTGCACGCCTCCCCTCTCCCTCTTCAGGCCCCGTGTGCCATGCGGGGTGCTGAGGCTGTGTGTGTGGCCCCCAGAGTCTGTGTCTGGGCAGTGAGGCTCCCAGGTGGAATACGTTTGGGAAGCCCTGAGTTAAGGAAAGGGCTGTGGGGTTATTTTGTGCAGGGTTTGAAGGAGGACTTGCCACACTTATGTGAGCACCATAGTCATGATGTTCTAGTACATTCTGCATGTGAAGGGTAAATGCAGGAAAGGGTTCAAGGCAGGACGGAGGAACGTGGCGAGCGGCTTTGGAGAAGGGGCTGTTTGAGCTCACCCTGGAAGGAGACAGGAGGCGGGTGGAGGTGCCTAGACGGGCTTGGGTTGAGCACGGTTGGAAGATGCTAGGGAGCCCGCTGAGGAAGCAGCAGGTGGGCCATTCTGGAGGGAACAGTGGGAGTTAAGGTGCAAAAGGCCTTGCCTTCTGCCAACCAGCGTGAAGCTACCTGATAAGACGCTGGGTGATATGCTGGGGTAAAAGAAAGCTTTGGGAAGCTCCTCAGATCACCTCATCAAACCAACAGAGTCTGCGTTTGGCCCTGCATACAATCATAAGTATCCAATTAATTACTGTGCTTCAGAGGGTCCATGTGTTTTTCTAACTATTTTTGTTGTTATTTTGTTTTTATTTTCTAAGTAGGAACTGCAATAAGAGTGGATAATTGAAAATGCATGGATAATCAGATACCATTAATACCAAAAATTGCTTAAATTGGCCCCAAAAATATGCATGCGCATATGTATTTACCTTGTTTCTCTGAAGCTGACAGTTTCTCTTACCATGTCTCTGCCTCCTGTAGGGCTGGCAAAGCGAGTCGGTGCTCGTCTGCTCCTGGCCTCCACGTCAGAGGTGTATGGAGGTGAGTTGTGGGGGGCTCCCACAGGGGATGCTCCCTTGGCCCCCTGGACCATTTGCATCCTGTCTTAGGTGAAGAAAAAATCAACACTGAGTCCAGGATTCCGTTTCTAAGAAGGCCCAGCCTGCTCTCCCTGTTCCAGTGCGGGCAGCTAAGATGCTTTCCATCCCGGCTGGCCGTGGTCCCCAGGCTCCCTCCTTTGACTGGGACGAACCTGTTTTTCTCCCATTGACGCACACCCTCAGGAGACCTTGCCAACAAGGACCTGCCACTCACAATCCCACAGAAGTGTTTTTGCCATTCTGCTCTGAAAGTACCCTGGAGATCACATGCATTAGGGAATTTTTTTTCCAGTTTAGCTGGTGTGTGTTATTCTTCAGCATAGCAATGCGTGCCGTGAGCCTGACCCACCGAGAACTCGGGTTGGCCTTTGAAGCTTGCTTGGTGAAAAGACTTGTGCTGATGCCTCACTGTTGCGTAACGGTTCCTGGAAGAATCTTAACTGGATTGTGCCAGAAATGTCAAGGGCCTGTTCTGCAAACCTGCAGCATCACCACCCTCCCCAGGCCCATCAGGAAGCGAGTGCCAGGAGCAGGATGAGGGTTAGGTTTTTAGTTCACGTGGATTTCCATTCAGCCTCACGCGAGCTGGATGTAGGGTTTCGAAGCCCTGCTGCGTGGATGCAGCCAAAGTCAGACTCTGCCGTGAAGGAGTGTATCTCCTTCGCAGTACTGTCAGGGTCAGGCGGAATGGACGTGGAAGGGCCACATGGGAAGCGTTGCTGGTTTGGTTTTTTTTTTTAAAGTTAGGAAACCAAATGAAAAATCATAGAAACAGAAATTCCACTATACGCAGTTAATGTTCTTTGTCATCCCTGTGAAAAGACGGAGTGCTGCCCACTTGTTAGGTGGTTAGAGGGCAGAAGTGTCCACCTTCTCCCGTTCGCCATGCCATTTCAGGAGGTGGTGGTTGAGTGGCCTCGCATTCTCCCCACGCTGTGCTGTCCCTATCAGGACCCTACAGGGACGTTCCCCTTTGGCTTTAGATGATTCCTCTTGGCTTCCTCTGACGGGCTTCATATTGTCACAGAAAGAGGGGTGCCGATACAGTCTGATGGGCCCAGTCTGTAAATGCCTCAGCTCTAAAGGCGCTCGTGTTCTGTCCAGGAGAGCCCAGTGACCACCCTTCCACAGCTCTCCACCTTCCTCCCGTCTCATGCATCATCTACGCATCTCACAGTAGCTTGTGCTCTTTAGGGTCTCAAATCATCTCAGGCCTACCTCCCAGATCCCCCAGGCACTCGGCTCTGGTGTCTCACACCTGCAGTAGGCTGGCGTTGTGTGGAGCACATGCTTGCTATGAAAAGGGGAGACTGATTAAAAATCAGTTTTAACTAGCCCTTTACTCTTGTGATTACAAAGTGATTTTTTTCCCTTTTTTTTCCAAAGTGATTTTGTGAGGGAACTTTTTTTCAAGCTGTGTCAGAAACCTTAGGCATCCTGGGCATTTCAGTCCTGATGGTGCCAGCCGAGGGGCGGATGGGCGTGCCCAGCCTTCTCGTTCTTGTCATTTGCCAAATGTGTGACCATCTCCTTTGGAGTCTGGCTTGCCCAGCCCTTGTCAAAATCCCCAGAAAAGGTCTGATGTCAATCATCTGTCACACCTGTGTGAATTTGAGTCATTGGTTTTCTTCTCTCAGAGAATATTTGCCTTAGACCTTTTCCCTCACCATGCAGTAAAAATGTGCCCTTTCTTAGAAGAATTTTAAAGCTCAGAAGCACATAGTAGAGAGGTCTGAGTGGGGTGCTTTTGCCGTGGTCTGGAGGAGGTGCCAGTCTCCTGTGTGTTCATGTCCCCTCCCTGCATGGGTACCATTGTACCCATAAGCCAAAGTCAAACCTCTGCTACAAGACATGCAAGAAATGAATTTATAACAGGTTCCCGTACCTTGTTCAGATTTCTTGGCAAAGATTTACGCATTTGATACCCTCGTTGTATAAAATTCCTGGTGTACCAGATAAATAGGTGTTAATTCACATTCCAAAAATATACTTGTGTTAAAAGAATTTGTTACTGGGTTTCCTTAAATTGTCATTCCCCTGGTCCATCTTAAAGTGTGATGGATTTACACACCAGAAGACTAGGAATTGGGAAATAGAAAACACGTGCTAATGGAACAAGCAGCCACTTGACCTGGGACGCTCCGTCCTCCCACCGACACTAGGCCAGGCCTCCAGGATGTCTCGTTTAGGTTCTCAGGTTGGCTCTGGTGATGGTACATAAGACAGTCATTTTCCACAGAGATGCTCTAAAATGTTATCAGTGAATACTTGCTTTGCCTTAATTATATATTTTATAACTATAAAATTGAACCATATATCTCTTCACATAGGTTATATTTAATTACAGTTTGTATAATAATCTAAAAATTAAGAAGAGTTTAAGGGAAAGAGGGGAGACTTTAAAAGTGAGAGCTTTGATTTTATAATTGTTTTTCCTGTGTAATACTGTATCACTTCGTAGGAGAGACAAGAACACCGCATCCCCCTGGAACTTAGAGAACGGCCTGTAAAGCACTGCAGTTCCCTCTGTAACATGGATCTCTCCATCAGTGAAGTTCCCCTTGGTCTTTCCACAGCTCTCTGTTGCATCATAAATATTCGGTGTTCATTATTCATATGGACTTGGAACCAAGGGGAGATGAAAACATAGTCTCCTTTTTCTCCCCCTCGTAGATCCTGAAGTCCACCCCCAAAGTGAGGATTACTGGGGCCACGTGAACCCGATAGGCCCCCGGGCCTGCTACGATGAAGGGAAACGTGTTGCGGAGACCATGTGCTATGCCTACATGAAGCAGGTATGATAGGAGCGGGTACGTGGGGCGCAGACGCAGAGCATGCAGCGCTCGCTGTAAAGGAGCGAAATGCCACGGTTACTGCTGGGATGGGTGCTGGGGAAGGAAGCCCAGGTTCCCTCTATTATGAATTAATGACATTATCTACAGCTTTTCCCATGTGTCTCCTTTGTTAATGACTTCTGGGGGATAAATTCTTAGGTGTGGAATACCGTCCCACAGCTAGGAGCAGTATGCTGCTTCATTGCCTTACTGGCCCCAGCAGTTAAGAAGTGTCTCTGTTTTCCAAAGCCTCTAAATCGGTGGACATTTTTTTAAACTTCCAGTTATTTGATAGGTATAAAATAAATTCATTATTGCTTTCACTTGAACCTCTTTAGGAACTGTTATTTCTATTTATTTATTTACTATTATTTTCTGCTTTCTTAATGACTCATGCTATGCAGGGGAAACTTTCCCCTGGAGAGTTTCATGTCTTAGATTTGCTCACCCATGTGCTGTAGCAGAAAAAGCCCGTGGACTGAGAAGCGGAAGGTCTGGGTTCCCACCCTGGCTCTGCCTCCAAGTCCTCAGGGATGTGACCCGAACCCTTGGTCACTGGGTTCTTGTCTGTGACTTGGGGTTCAGCACATTGTCCTGCCTGTCTCAGGGCTGTGCTGGAGCCGATGACACATCCCGACAGGGCTCCCAAGGGCCGGGCGAGGGCCTGGCTAATGCATCCATTTCTCAGTGACCCAGTTGTGTGGCCCAGCGTTCTGAGACCCTCACGGACATGCCCATATTAGAGGAAGGGACATGTGGACAGGACAGGCTAGGGACAGATGTGCGGTGGTCCATGCTCTCAGGACTTGAAGAGGAGTTGGCATATGTCCCTAGGAGCAGCGTTGTCAAGCCCCGGGTTCCGCCTGCAGGTGAGCCCAGGGTTCAGACAGCTGTGGACTTCATGCCAGGGGAGAGGCGCGTTTGGGTGCCTGGCAATGAGTCTCCCGCCCGGGCTGGGTGTCCCTCAGCATCTTTTTTTTAATGAAATACCAACATTAGAGACCCACAAAATAACCTTGTGCTGATGTAGCATTTTGTCGATTTCTCAGCCAGAAGCAGAACTAATTTCTTTCTAAGCTACTTTAGGCAGTTAGCTTTTATTATCCATTTATTTTAAGAAACATTGATCAGTTTTAGAAAGGACATAACTTTATCATTTTTGAGCCCAAAATATCTTGACCCCAAAGTTTAAGATGGCCTCCCAGATGCACAGCATAGCCTGTACATATGTTGGTACTTAAGGAAACTTGAGTATGTTGGGGACACGTAATTGCATTTTACTGCATCGTAAGTCTGCAGGGGATTGTGCCTCTCAGCTGTTTTCTTTTGCTTTCAGTCTTGTGTTTCTCAGTGAATTTTTACATAGGTAAAGCTGGTAGGCAAATAGGACATTTTTATTGAACTTTTAGTTTGTATTAAATGATTCACTGTAACTGAATTGATAAATTTGTAAGTATACGTGTTAGCTTCAGGTTAGAGCTCATGGTAATTATACTGTTTGGTAACAATGTAGTCAGCACTACTGAGCACTGACTGTATGCCCAGAACTGTAATGTACACTCGGGCACTAGCCAGGGTATGCATTTCACACACATACCAACACTACCATACATGTCATCTGGCTCGTGAGCTCGGGAATGTAGCTCCTAGATAACTCTGGAGCTATCGGCATTTACATTGCTGCTCACATAGGTCTCGGGAGATGAATGGCATTGGCAGCATTGTCCTGAAAACTGTACAGCAGTGTGTCTGTTAGAAGCCCCTCTGTGGACAGCCAGTCTCTGGCTGAGTGTCCCTATCAGGAGGGTGTCCTGCACAGCAGGACCCTGCCTTGTGCAGTCCTATCATTCACTTGAAGGATGCTCTACTGTGGAATGTCTGGCACGTGCTTCACACGCAGGAGGCCCCATCAGATGGTTGTTGAATGGATGGAAAAGTCGCATCCGTGGTCCAGTTAATGCTCTGCCTGGGGTGGGCTGGCCTCTGTGAGGGTCAGCCTGGGTTAGGGCTCAGTCCGTTTAATCTCCCCTCCTTCCCACGGCCCTTTTGAGGTGGGTGTGGGTAGTCCGTTTTACAGATGGAAGTGTGGGCTCTAAAACTTGTTTCCAGCCCCCTGGCCTATGAGCAGAGCTCGAACCCAGGACTGGCAGCCTGTAGGGCGTGCTTCTCCCCCTCTCCCGGCCGTCCTGGTGGGCCACTGTGGGTCAGGAAGCTTGGCTGAGCTAAAGAAGATGCAGCTCCGAGTCCAAGGGCATCCGGGCTCCTTGGAAGCACACATGGTCATGTGACGAACCCCAGGACAAGCAGTCCAGGTGGCATTGCGTAGAATCACCATTGCTCCTCGGGGCTCATCAGCGAGGGTCTGCACTGTGATGTTGTCAATTTCTAGTTCTAAATGTGCAACTTTTAGGACAAAAGTCCGAACTTTAAGTATTATGATTTATGCTATCTAGAGACTAATGAAGGGAAAAAATGACCAGAAAGAAGGATGTACCGGGTGGAATATCAGTAGTGTGTCTTTGGCATGTTTTTAATTAATTACTCAATAACTTAAATTATTCTTTTTTATACATCCTAAGTATACTCCTAAGTATAAATTATAATTTTACTTCTCCCACATGGTACGTGGATATATTTTACTCTGAGTAAACCTAGTATATAAGGATTGAGAATATAAACAAGGTAAAATAGAGGTAAGAATAATCTTTTTATAGATTTTCCCTTTTCTGAAGGATTCTCTTCTGAGTTTCTCTTAATTAAATATGCTAATGTATTCAAATTAGAATTTGATTTGTCCAAAAACTCTTATCGCAAGTATACACTTCAGAGATGTGAATGCAAAGAGAAGCTCCCTTGAGTTTTCTTCCAAGGGATGGAATGAGATGCAAGTTGGCATCAAAGGGCATAGCATCTTCCACACATACTTTGAGCTTGTCAGAGAGGAATTAAATTGCAGCTGCTGTGTGCACTTGGATGTGGTGGTTTTATAAATGTGGGGACCTCTCTGTTGTGCTGTGGCCAGTGCTTGGTGTGTGTGTGAGCTCACCACCCAGCGTGAGGCTGATGCTCAGGGCCCGCCCACTGGGTGGGGTCTGCAAACAGGCCGCCATTCATAAAACCAGACTGGCAAAGCAGAAAGACAGAAAACTGAGAAATCCTCCAGTCCAGAGGCTATGACATGACAGTATGGCTTTGTTTTATTTTCTGGCATCAGAACACCTTTTAAAAAATTAAATACTTTGTATGTATATTGTATTTTACTTTTTAAAATATGCTCAGCAAGCAGCTAAAACAGGTCAAATGTTTGAGGGGTAAGATTCACGCCCGAGGAGTTAAGACCCCCTGGCCTGGACCCACCCAGCTCTTTGGCTTGCTTGCTGGGCACCCACTCGCCACGCCCACTTGCCCCACCTAGAAGTTGGCAGAGCAACACTATTCCCTCCTGGCCTCTTTGGGAGCGTAGCCTGCTGGGTAGCCAACACCCGAGAACGATTGTTACCATACAGCTAAAGCAGGGCTGTTGCAGAGATTTCGAGGTGGCTCTGTGTTCTTTAATGGCCTCGGACTTATCCCCAGGTAGGGGGCAGACCCCATCAAGATGCGTTTATGAGAGCCATAGGGGAATTGTGTGGTTCAGCCTGCGGGCAGCCTGGCGCTGATGTGCATGTACTTCTCAGGGGCACGAGGAAGATGAAGGAAGTGTCACAGAGTCGGGCCTGCCAGACCTGGGAGCGCTTCCTGTTAGTTCTCTGTCCCGTCCCCTGTAGGTAAATATGCCCTGGTGCCTCCTTCAGGACAGGCTACCCACAGGGGAGGGGTGATGGTCAGCTTCTGGTCAGCGCCTGCTCTCCCCGTGCTGCATTTCTCTGTCCATCCTGGGCTCCTTTCAGTGAAGACACCAATCATGATTGTACCGCGGTGTTCAATGGCTTGAGAAAATACTCTCCAAGGAATAGTCACATTTTAAGAGCACTTTAGAGGGAGAGCCATTAAATCCCTGCTGGCAACATTTCTGTCCTTGGGACATGTGGGAGGGAGGATGCTGTGTCCCTTCCGTGTACCGCCTTATCGCCCTCACTGATCAGTCTGGGGCTGCCTCCCCAACCCTTCGCCCTCTTGACAGCAGCAAATGGGGACAGAGGCATTGGGACGCCAGCTTACCCATCTGGCTTCTACATCTTCCTGCAGCCTGGTCACTGTTACATCCAGAGCCCAGTCATTAAAATGGTCCTAGGTGCTGATTGGGAATGTTTCTGAGATACTTTACACAGGGAACGAGGTCAGAGTTCAAGGGCAAATACTGAGTTTAGAGCCATCATTTGGACATAGACAGGAATGATGACAGTTTTCAAAGCAGGACAGTTTTCAAAGCAGTTTCACGTATTTTCTTTTAATTCCTGTGATGGAGGCAGATGGATATTATTGTCCCCATTCCAAAGGTTAGGATGTTAAATCTTAGAAAACTGAAGTGACTTCCCCTGAAATGTGCAGCTAGTGAGTGACAGGACCTCCATGACAGCGAGCCCTCCAGGTATCCAGCCCCCCATCCCCCAGGCTCTCCCCAGTGTATTTCGCCCATTTGTGTTCCATGTGCTGCTTACCTGTGTGTACTGACATGTGCTCACCCATGTGGCACTTTGAGCATCCAGCCTCTCCAGCTCCCACTGGTTTTATGCTGATGGGACTCGCTTGCAGTAGCCGTGCTGGTTCTTGATGTAAGAGCCTCTTGATGCTTAGAGTTACTGTGAATGAGTCATGGTTCCTTCCCCACATGGGACAAAACCACAGACACAAAGTGAAACCCAGCCGTGCTTAAGAATGACTCAGCTCTCCCTGCCGTGTGTGTGTGTGTGTGTGTGTGTGTGTGTGTGTGTGTGTGTCCCTGGCCGATGAGCCGTCGAATGAGAGACAGCAGTTTGTGCATGTGTTGCTCACTGGTCCTTCAGAGGAGGGTTGCCCTTAAAAGAGGCATCATGATCTGGCGGGCACTTCCTGGGTTTTCATCCTGGGGAGCAGGCTTTGGGGTCACTGGCCCTTTCCTCAGGCCTCATATGGGGGGTGGTTATACCTTCCTCCAAGGTGTGGGCTCCCAGCAGGCCACCACTTTGAGCAGCCACATGGGTACCTGCTGACTGTCTACCCTTCCACCCGGGCCCCAGGGGCTGAGTGTCAGGTAGCTGACGGACTGTGCATGCTAAACGGGTATCTGTGTCCTGATCTCCTTAGAAAGAGCCAGTACATGAGAGGAAAGCAGGTCTCCATTGAGAAAGTCTTGGTTTATATTGATTTGATTTGGGAGGTGAGGCTTACGATGGAGCTAGTCTTGTTGGTGTAAACCAGGCTTGAGAGCTAGAGTTCTTAAAAAAGCATCGTGACTGTCTCTGTGGCTGCACCTGTCCAGAGGCGTTGTCCTGTGTCACCTAAGGTGGCGATTCAAACGGGAAAATCAAAACAAGCAGAGCCGTGTACAGGCTGGCCAGTTAGTGTCTGCAGAACTCTGCTTTTAGTGAGGCCATGTTCTAGAACGATCCTGAGGAAAGGGCTGGTCAAGACGACGAAAAGTGTTTGATTTGCTGCAACCCTTGCATAGCCCATTGAGCTTCCTCATGGCAGGCATGTGGGCTTGACTAGTATAAATTTGCTGAGGTTTTTCCAGTCTCTTCCTAGAATAAAGCCATATTTATCCACTCCTGATTCTTTCTTCATTTTAATTAAGTGCAAGTAGATTGGATACATTTGGGTTATTTTCTATTGAGATCAACATCTCTATCCTTCTCCCCTGCTCCCCTCCCCCCATTTTTTGAAATATTTCTAGTAAATTTAGTAGAGAAAAGGATTGATTTCAAATTCCTGTACCAAGTCTAACAGTTCAAATCTTAATCTGGAAAATCTTGTGAATGTGCTATAATGTATTGCTGGGAGGAGTTAGCAAAAATACAGTGCTTTGGTTTCTAAAAGTTAACTGTGTACTGGGTCCATTATTCCCAACCATTTCCTATCTCTGCACATGTAGAAACTGCACGTGAGGGACTCAGATGGGGTTGCTGTGGGCAGAGGTGGCCGGCCAGGTGGCTCCTGCCACTTTGAGACCCAATGTGGGCCCTTGGAACACTGCAGCTCGTGGCCTTTAACTCACTATTCTGGGGGCAGAGTTCTGTGCTCCGTAAGCCCCGTTAGCTAAGGGTCCCTTAGAGCCCTAGGCTGTGCCAGACCTGAGGTCATAGAAATAGAAAACAACTGTTTTGTCTAGCAGTGACACAGGAGCAACTAGTGTGTAACTGCTGGGCCCGTACTGAGGGCTACACAGGGATCACTTTAATTTTATAATACCCTCTAAGGGAAGCTCTGCTCCTCTCCCAATTTTACTGTGACAGAGGGTAAGTAAGTGGCAGGCTGGTTAAGCCACAGAGCTGGGTGGCACAGGAGCCCAGGCCCTCACACCACCATCCCACCTGCCTCAGACACCCAGAAAAATGCATCTGTAGTCTGATGGACCCAACAGATTAGAAGCATGGACTCTGAAAAGCCACTAATTCAGAGTCTGTGGTAAAATATTTAACGTTTGTATCCATGAGAAAACAGTCTGTGAAATTAATAATTAAATAAGATAATTTAGAGAAGGCTTTTAATGCTTAAAACATACTTCCCTGAGTACTTATTTGAAAATAGGCTTTACCTGATTACAAAAGTAATGCATGTTTATTGTAATAAAAATAGAAACGATAAAAAATACACAGAGGAGGAAAATGGATGTTTATAATCCCACCACACAGAGACAGATGTGTTTTAAACAGTGTTTTCTCAGTGGAACAGGTTGGGGTGTATGTAGGCAGTGCTGCTCTTTAAGAATGCCTATATGTCTCTTCTTTTCTTAGATGAACGCTCCTTTTTCTTTTAATTAGCTATTAAACATTCACTGACATTAAAATCTGTATTGAGTGATAAATTTGCAAAAAGTATTTTATGGAAATAATTATAAGACAATATGCATAACATGATCCCAAGTGTTAAAATAGGTCTTTACTGGGGAAATAGTTTATATAAACACGTGTCTTCCAGGTGTTCCACCAGAATTTTAATGCCTCTGGTCTTGTGGTGGTGAGACCTAGGACATGTTTGACTTTGTTTAGTATAACTCTGTGTAGTTGGCGAGTTTGTTTACAATGAGCACATTGTACACAGTTCAATCAAAAATCCGTTTCCTATGGGAACGAAAAGTAGAATTGTTCTGACATGCTTTGTGTGCGGGGGCACTGGCAGGGCGGAAGCGTACGTGCGTGCTGCAAAACGAGACGCCGCTCACTTCCTCTGCTCTCTGTTCCAGGAAGGCGTAGAAGTGCGAGTGGCAAGGATTTTCAACACGTTTGGGCCGCGCATGCACATGAACGACGGCCGGGTCGTCAGCAACTTCATCCTGCAGGCGCTCCAGGGCGAGCCGCTCACGGTATGCGCCCGCTTCCATGGGCAAAAAAGGTCGGCAACCGCCAGCAAGGGCTCATTGCTGCTTGATTTAGGGAATCACAGTCCTGAAGTTGCCGCTCTGTGTTTCTGTATGTCCCTGCTGCCTCCAGTGACAGGGACGGGAGGCTCATGCGTAGAACGCGGAACAGAGAAACGTGGAACTCGAGTCACCGTGCTTTCCATGGGCTGCGGGCTTGGTCCATGCTCCCAGGCCTCAGTCTGCCTGCCTGCGGAGGCCTGCCTGGAAAGACCTTCCCCGACGTTGTCCTGGCCCACTGGCTGTGGCCGGGGCTGTGTCTATACTTAGTGCCCCTCAGGTGGCGGAGAAGTGGACGTGTGCTGAGGCGATGTGGGCAGTTTTCTCGGCAGTGCTGAGAAGCACTCCGTCTGCCCACTCCCCACGGGGGTGCGGCTTCTGGAGCCCGGTGGCCACCCGGTGGCCTGGGATGAGTGGTCTGCGCGCAGTGAGGGGGAGGCCCGGCTGCTCGCTGCCCTTGAGGAGCCCCTGTGGGGTCAGCGTGGGCGGCTTGCTCCACTCATCCCCGTCATCCCCTCACCTCCCTCAGGGAGGAGCGCCTTCCCTGCTCTGCCATGGGGTTTGCTGATTATTTTGGTTGGTTTTCTTTGGTTTTGCCAAATCTTCCCTGCTGTCCTCCTTTACTCTACCTTCTTCTCTTTCCTCCATTCTGTCCCATTTCTCTCCCTGCCTTTCTGCCTCTCTTCTTTGCTCTTCAATCTGTGACCTTCAGTGGGCCCGTTAAAGCTCAGTGTTTGGTGGATCTCCAGACTAGATAAGCATCCTGGTACTCTGAAAATCCTGCAGGATGGTTTGTTTATCAGCTGAATATATTCCAGGGGGGGAAACTCATAGCTATGTGAACATATGCATCTACCTATATATCCATCTGTCCATCTCTTCCCTTCTCTCTCTAGCTATCTACCAGTAGAGTTAGTTACTGTTTCTGTTTTTTTATCGTTACATCTGTTTACTCATTTAATGCTCACAACAGGTCCCTGGGGTGCAGGTAATATTACTGTCCCCATTTTCCAGCTGGGGAGACTGAAGCCCAGCGATTAGATAAATTGCCCAAGCTCACGTGGCCAAACAGTGGCAGCTGTGCTTGAACCCGGAGCCTCCACTCTTAATCCCCGTTCTCCATGGTGGTCAGCTCCTTTGGGATGTGTTCGCTACACCACTATCAATTCAGAACAAAAAGCTTAGCCAGTTTAGAACCAAAAAAATGATGACTCCCCAAGGGCAAGACACATTGTCTCCTAGGTGAGTTTTTCTTAACACACAGGGGAAGGGTGAATTCAGACCCCAGCTGGAGGTGCGGACACCCCAAGCCTGCTCTCCCGCCCCCGTTCTCACGACATGCCAGCTCTGTGTCTTGGTGCCGGAGGACAGGCACACTGTGGTCACACTCAGGCCTTTCCCCACCGCCGCCACACACCGCACACCCCAGTGTCCTCGCCCCGAGTAGACCCCGGCCTGGGCCTTTCTCGCCTCTTCGCCCATCGCCCTGGGCCATGTCGCCATTTTACTGCTGCGGCCTCCTAACCACGCTCATGTTCCTGTCCCCTGCTCACAACCCAGCAGCCAGAGGGGTGGAAAGGGAGGGCAGGGACTTGAATGGCTTTCCATGTCCTGCGATGCCGGCACACCCAGCCTCAGCCTGAATCCTCTGCTCCTGCCTGTCTCCGGAATACTTACTTTCCGGGTGATCTCCCCGCTCTGTTGTCCTCTCTTTGGGGAGCCTTCTGGACCATTCTGTGCAAAATGGCACTCACCTGCCACTCTGCCCCTCTGAACCGTGCTTTTTATTGTTTTCATGGCACTTATCACCAACTGAAAGGTTAATTTTCCAGCCCCCAACCCTCTCTAAGTGTGAGCGCTTTGATGCCAGGAACTTTGATCCACCCTTGTCTGTGGCCCCTGCCCCTGGAAGAGTGCCTGGCACCCAGGTGGCATGTGATAAATGGGGTAGAATTACTGATTGAGATTAAGGTGGCTGCTTCCCTTTGTGATGAGCACAGGGGCTCAGTGACTTCTTCTGGAAGCTCGTGGTTGTAGTGTGCTTACAAGGTGGGGCGCGTTCTCACTCCCCGTGCCCCTCTGCCTGCCGTTGGCTTCCAAGGTGCTTGTGCACTGGGCCTCTTGGTCCAGCTGTTCTGTTGAGAATTCGTCACCTTCAGGGACATTCATGGTGCCTTTTTAGTCACCGCCTCAGAACTTTCCTTACACCGCAAGATCAGAACTGCATTGTTTGCAGAGCAAACTGTTAAAAGCCTTCTGAAAAGAACTTCTGGATTTATCGTCTCCTGGGCAGCAGCCGGGGCCCACGTGTCAGGTGGGAGAGCACGTCCCCCGCCCAGCTCAAGAATGTACCCGCTGTGGGCAGAGGTGACAACTCATGTGTTTTCTCCATGCTGTGCAAGCTTCCGTGCCAGTGACAGGAGAAAGCTGGCTGGTGCCATTCCAGACTGCAATTAGTCCAAAACATGCCGGGGTTCAGTCTTCTCTAGACGCCTCTGGTGGCAGGAGGCAGGAGTCCCCAAGGAGGCCTTTCAGAATGTGTTTGTTTCATCTGTCACACAGAATTCTGTTTCCCTTCAGTGATTTGATGAAGTCCTAACTTTTCATCCTCTTCTGTCCAATTGAGTGAGCATCTCCTGCTTTTGTCAGATGTTTTCATAGCGATGTCTTGGGGGAGGGGGTCGTACATCATGATTCTCTGGATCCAGCCCATCTCTGGCAGCACTTGGTTTATTAAGCAAGGAGAGTAAGGAGGGGTGTTCATCTTTTCTCCTCTTCTGCCTTGTTTCCAACAAGTTGTTTCTAAGACTAAATGCCTTTTCAGTGGTAGTTGGGAACACCTCAGTGTCTCATCTTCTCTTTTCCAAGCTGGGTTAATGTAATCACTTACCTTCCAGCTGATTTTTTCTGAAGCCCTTTGTTATCTTATCCCTCAGCACATTTTATTCTTTGGGCATGCCTTAGTGTCTTGAGTCACTGCTGTATTGGGTGCCTGTTAGGATAACTCGGGTAGTACATACAGGCAGACCTCGGAGGTATTGAGGTTTAGTTCCAGACCACCACAATAAAGCTAATATCACAATAAAGCAAGTCACATTAATTTTTTGGTTTCCCAGTGCATATAAGAGATATGTTTATGCTATACTGTAGTATATTAAGTGTGCAGTAGCATTGTGTCCAAAAATGTGCATATCTGAGTTCAAAAATACTTTACTGCTAAAATATGCTAATCACCATCTGAGCCTTCAGCAAGTCAGCATATTTTTGCAAGTGGAGGGTCTCACCTCAATATTGATGGCTGCTGAATGTTGATCAGGGTGTTGGTTGCTGAAGATTGGAGTGACTGTGACAACTTCTTAAAATAAGACAACAGTGAATTTGCCACATCAATTGACTCTTCCTTTCATGAATGATTTCTCTGTAGCATGTGGTGCCATTTGATAGCATTTTATCCACAGTAGAACTTCTTTCAGAAGTAAAGTCAGTCCTCTCAAACCCAGCTACTGCTTTATCTACTATATAATATTCTAAATCTATTTTTGTCACTTCAACAACCTTTATAGCATCTTCATCAGGAATAGATTCCATCTCAAGAAACCACTCTCTTTGCTCATGCATAAGAGCAAAGTTTTATCATGAGTTTACAGCAATTCAGTCACATCTTCAGGCTCCACTTCTAATTCTGGTCGTCTTGCTGTTTCCACCACCGTCTGCAGTTACTTCCTCCACTGAAGTCTTGACCCCTCAAAGTCATCCGTGAGGGTTGGAATCAACTTCTTCCAAATGACTATGAATGTTGATACTTTGACCTTTTCCCATGAATCATGAATGTTCTTAATGGCATCTAAAATGGTGAATCCTTTCCAGAAAGTTTTCAATTTACTTTGCCCAGATCCATCAGAGGAATCACTGTCTATGCCAGCTATAGCCTTATGAAATGTGTTTCTTAAATAATAAGACTTGAAAGACAAAATGACTCCTTGATCCATGGGCTACAGAATGGATGCTGTGGTAGCAGACTGCAAACAACATTCATCTCGTTGTACATCTCCATCAGAGCTCTTGGGTGGCCAGGCGCACTGTCAGCAAGCAGTAATAATTCAAAAGGAGTCCTTTTTTTTTTCTGAGCAGTAGGCCTCAACAGTAGACTTAAAGTATTCAGTAAACACTGCTGTAAAAAGATATGCTGTCACCCAGGCTTTATTGTTCCATTAATAGATACAGGCAGAGTAAATGTAGCATAATTCTTAAGGTTCCTTGTATTTTCTGAGTGATA